CTTGTATTGCTATAAACTTCCCCCTTAGAACTGCTTTTGCTGCATCCCACAGGTTTTGGGTCGTTGTGTCTCCATTGTCATTTGTTTCTAGGTATTTTTGATTTCCTCTTTGATTTCTTCAGTGATCACTTCATTATTAAGTAGTGTATTGTTTAGCCTCCATGTGTTTGTATTTTTTACAGATCTTTTCCTGTAATTGATATCTAGTCTCATGGCGTTGTGGTCAGAAAAGATACTTGATACAATTTCAATTTTCTTAAATTTACCAAGGCTTGATTTGTGACCCAAGATATGATCTATCCTGGAGAATGTTCCATGAGCACTTGAGAAAAATGTGTATTCTGTTGTTTTTGGATGGAATGTCCTATAAATATCAATTAACTCCATCTCGTTTAATGTATCATTTAAAGCTTGTGTTTCCTTATTTATTTTCATTTTGGATGATCTGTCCATTGGTGAAAGTGGGGTGTTAAAGTCCCCTACTATGAATGTGTTACTGTCGATTTCCCCTTTTATGGTTGTCAGTATTTGCCTTATGTATTGAGGTGCACCTATGTTGGGTGCATAAATATTTACAATTGTTATATCTTCCTCTTGGATCGATCCCTTGATCATTATGTAGTGTCCTTCTTTGTCTCTTCTAATAGTCTTTGTTTTAAAGTCTATTTTGTCTGATATGAGAATTGCTACTCCAGCTTTCTTTTGGTTTCCATTTGCATGAAATACCTTTTTCCATCCCCTTACTTTCAGTCTGTATGCGTCTCTTGGTCTGAAGTGGGTCTCTTGTAGACAGCAAATATATGGGTCTTGTTTTTGTATCCATTCAGCCAATCTGTGTCTTTTGGTGGGAGCATTTAGTCCATTTACATTTAAGGTAATTATCGATATGTGTGTTCCTATTCCCATTTTCTTAATTGTTTGGGGTTCGTTATTGTAGGTCCTTTCCTTATTTTGTGTTTCTTGCCTAGAGAAGTTCCTTTAGCAGTTGTTGTAGAGCTGGTTTGGTGGTGCTGAACTCTCTCAGCTTTTGCTTGTCTGTAAAGGTTTTAATTTCTCCATCAAATCTGAATGAGATCCTTGCTGCGTAGAGTAATCTTGGTTGCAGGTTTTTCTCCTTCAACACTTTCAATATGTCCTGCCACTCCCTTCTGGCTTGCAGAGTTTCTGCTGAAAGATCAGCTGTTAACCTTACGGGGATTCCCTTGTGTGTTATTTGTTGTTTTTCCCTTGCTGCTTTTAATATGTTTTCTTTGTATTTAATTTTTGACAATTTGATTAATATGTGTCTTGGCGTATTTCTCCTTGGATTTATCCTGTATGGGACTCTCTGTGCTTCCTGGACTTGATTAATGATTTCTTTTCCCATATTAGGGAAGTTTTCAACTATAATCTCTTCAAATATTTTCTCAGTCCCTTTCTTTTTCTCTTCTTCTTCTGGAACCCCTATAATTCGAATGTTGGTGCGTTTAATGTTGTCCCAGAGGTCTCTGAGACTGTCCTCAGTTCTTTTCATTCTTTTTTCTTTATTCTGCTCTGCAGTAGTTATTTCCACTATTTTATCTTCCAGGTCACTTATCCGTTCTTCTGCCTCAGTTATTCTGCTATTGATCCCATCTAGAGTACTTTTAATTTCATTTATTGTGTTGTTCATCGTTGCTTGCTTCATCTTTAGTTCTTCTAGGTCCTTGTTAACTGATTCTTGCAATTTGTCCATTCTGTTGTCCATTCTATCTCCAAGATTTCGGATCAACCTTACTATCATTATTCTGAATTCTTTTTCAGGTAGACTGCCTATTTCCTCTTCATTTGTTAGGGCTGGTGGGTTTTTATCTTGCTCCTTCATCTGCTGTGTGTTTTTCTGTCTTTTCATTTTGCTTATCTTACTGTGTTTGGGGTCTCCTTTTTTGCAGGCTGAAGGTTCGTAGTTCCTGTTGTTTTTTGTGTCTGTCCCCAGTGGCTAAGGTTGGTTCAGTGGGTTGTGTAGGCTTCCTGGTGGAGGGTACTAGTGCCTGTGTTCTGGTGTATGAGGCTGGATCTTGTCTTTCTGGTGGGCAGGTCCACGTCTGGTGGTGTGTTTTGGGGTGTCTGTAGACTTACTATGATTTTGGGCAGCCTCTCTGCTAATGGGTGGGGTTGTGTTCCTGTCTTGCTAGTTGTTTGGCATAGGATATCCAGCACTGTAGCTTGCTGGTCGTTGAGTGAAGCTGGGTGCTGGCGTTGAGATGGAGATCTCTGGGAGATTTTTGCTGTTTGATATTATGTGCAGCTGGGAGGCCTCTTGTGGACCAGTGTCCTGAAGTTGGCTCTCCCACCTCAGAGGCACAGCACTGAGTCCTGGCTGCAGCACCAAGAGCCTTTCATCCACAGGGCTCCTTAATTTGGGATGATTCGTTGTCTATTCAGGTATTCCACAGATGCAGGGTATATCAAGTTGATTGTGGAGCTTTAATCCGCTGCTTCTGAGGCTGCTGGGAGAGATTTCCCTTTCTCTTCTTTGTTCTGACAGTTCCCAGGGGCTCAGCTTTGGATTTGGCCCCGCCTGTGCGTGTAGGTCGCCGGAGGGCGTCTGTTCTTTGCTCAGACAGGACGAGGTTAAAGGAGCCGCTGATTCGGAGGCTCTGGCTCACCCAGGCCGGGGGGTAGGGAGGGTCACGGAGTGCGGGGCGGGCCTGCAGCGGCAGAGGCCGGCGTGACGCTGCAGCCTGAGGCGCGCCGTGCGCTCTCCCGGGGAGCCGTCCCTGGATCCCAGGACCCTGGCAGTGGCGGGCTGCACAGGCTCCCCAGAAGGGCGTGTGGCTAGTGACCTGTGTTCGCACACAGGCCTCCTGGCGGCGGCAGCAGCGGCCTTAGCGTCCCATGTCCGTCTCTGGGCACCGCACTCTTAGCCGCGGCTCGCGCCCGTCCCTGGAGCTCTCTCAAGCAGCGTTCTTAATCCCCTCTCCTCGTGCACCAGGAAACAAAGAGGGACGTAAAAGTCTCTTGCCTCTTCGGCAGGTCCAGACCCCTCCCCGGACTCTCTCCCGGCCAGCCATGGCGCACCAATGCCCTGCAGGCTGTGTTCACGCCGCCAACCTCAGTCCTCTCCCGGCGCTCCGGCAAAAGCCGGAGCCTCAGCTCCCAGTCCCGCCCGCCCCGGCGGGCGAGCAGACAAGCCTCTCGGCTGGTGAGTGCCGGTCGGCCCGATCCTCTGCGCTGGAATCTGTCCGCTTTGCCCTCCGCACCCCTGTTGCTGTGCTCTCCTCCGCGGCTCCCAAGCTCCCCCACTCCGCCTCCCGAAGTCTCCACCCGCGAAGGGGCTTCCTAGTGTGTGGACACTTTTCCTCCTTCACAGCTCTCTCCCGCTGGTGCAGGACCCGTCCCTATCCTTTTGTCTCTGTTTAGTTTTTTCTTTTGCCCTAACCAGGTACGTGGGGGGTTCCTTGCCTTTTGGGAGGTCTGAGGTCTTCTGCCAGCGTTCAGTAGGTGTTCTGTAGGAGTTGTTCCACGCGTAGATGTATTTCTGGTGTATCTGTGGAGAGGAAGGTGATCTCCGCGTCTTACTCTTCTGCCATCTTCCCGGAAGTCCTTCCTATTTTTAGTTTTTTAAGGAACCTCCATACTGTTCTCCATAGTGGCTGTATCAATTTGCATTCCCACCAACAGTGCAAGAGGGTTCCCTTTTCTCCACACCCTCTCCAGCATTTACTGTTTGTAGATTTTTTGATGATGGCCATTCTGACTGGTGTGAGATGATATCTCATTGCAGTTTTGATTTGCATTTCTCTAATGATTAGTGATGTTGAGCATCCTTTCATGTGTTTGTTGGCCGTCTGTATATCTTCTTTGGAGATGGCCCCTCTCTTATTAGGCCTGTGATGCTTTGCTTTTGCTCGGTTTCTCTGTGGGACTTAAGTCTACCTTTGGATTACCTTCCATGGGCTCTGAGATGAGGTCTTACACCCAGAGGGAGATTTGAGAGTTTGGGATTCAGGTAGCAGAGTCAGAGCTGGACTATAAAGGATGAAAACTGCAGTTTTGGTCCACAATCAATTGTGACCTCAAGCTAGTCACTGTACTCCTTGGGGCATCATCTGTAAAATGAGGTTAATGACCCTACCTGCAAGTGCTGTGAGGCTCAGATGAGCCCACAGGATATGAACTTGCCTTAAAAACTGTACAGTACTGTACCATGCCAGGACCTATCTGCATCCCCAGTGGAGTTCCTGTTGTGCCTGACACGGTGCTGAGACAGCCGATACTCCTAGCTGCCATCTGGCAGTAGCAGGAGCCTCCGTGAATACTCAGCACAGGACTGAGCTTCCTTGGGGTCCATGTCTGTAACGGTACTGATCACTATTCTCTTTCAGACTTGAATTTATAGAAATTTCCTTATTGATAAGAGCAAATTGCTTGCAGATGTGGTTTTAATAAAATGAATACCGTCCCTTTTTTACTTTTATTTTTTGGTACACGGGCCTCTCACTGTTGTGGCCTCTCCCGTTGCGGAGCACAGGCTCCGGACGCGCAGGCTCAGCGGCCATGGCTCACGGGCCCAGCCGCTCCGCGGCATGTGGGATCCCCCTAGACCGGGGCACGAACCCGTGCCCCCTGCATCAGCAGGCGGACTCTCTACCACTGTGCCACCAGGGAAGCCCGTACCGTCCCTTTTAACCGTGTTCTTCATTGGGAGTTTGTGTTGCTTCAAGTACACGGCACCCAGGCCTGGACGGGGCCTTGCTCATTTCCCACCCCCTCCACAACTTTCTTGCTCTAGTCAGCTGGTCCTTGATGAAATATCTCTAGTAATGGGGGGAGTTCACTATTTCTGAAGGTAATTCACGTTAGAACTTCTTGCTTATGTGGCAACAAATTCTGCTTCCCAGCAGTTCCTATCCAAGATAATATTATGTAACTTTGGGCAACTTTTGATCAACATTGAAGCCATTTGTGGTCACTTACTAATTTTTAGAGATTTCAGGGACCCTTTCTTGTCTACTGAATGATATCTTCTGTTTCTGCAGTTCCTTTTTGCCAGGGAGAAGGGGGACAGTGATGATAGCCTGGTGGAGGAGACGCAGCCTAGCAGAGGGCACACAGAGGTGGCCCAGCGCAGCCAGGGCATGGTGAGCAGGAGTCCATACCACGAGGAGGGGACAGGCTGCCCAAGAAGCCAAGCTGCATATGAGGTGGGACGGTAAGCATAAGAGGGGTGGGGCCCAAGGTTGAGTCCGCCATGTCCTGCTCTGAAGCCTTCCATGGCTTCCCATTGCCTATTGAACACAGTCCAAAGTCAGCAGGCTTTTAAGCCCTTGCTTCCTTCCTGACAACCTTCCAAATCCCTTCCTTCCTCTCCATGTGGCCATTCCCTGCCCAACTTTCACCTGGACATACAGGGTACTTCCCATGCCCCAGATTCCACAATTCCTCCCTCAGTCACTTCTCAACATGCACAGTTGAACTAAAGTGCCACCTCCTCCAGGAGAGCTTCCCTGGCCAACGCCTCCTCTCCCATCCCCACTCCCATAGCTCTCATGACTCTTAGAAAACATTTCCGCAATTCACACATGCAGGGCACTATTTGTGGACGTAACTGCACCCAATAGGCTGTGAATTCTCCAACAGGGACCGTCTGCTGCCTCACTGTGGGCCCAGCACTGGATCTCCTTCCTGGCAGGTGCTCAGGGACGTACAAATAGGCCAGAGCTGTGCCCAGAGATCCATCCTCCTGCCCTCAGGGCCTGGCACAGCATGAGGTGGCCAGCTGCTCCTGGCTGCAGGCAGCCCCATACTTTACCTACACACGGCATTCACAGGCTATGATTTTCTCTATGTGCCCTGATGGGAAGCAGGTTCTAGACGATGGCCCTTCTTCACAGTTCTCTCCAACACATTACCCAGTCCTCTACCCAAAGGGCAGAGTTAGGCCCTGTGCCCTCACTGGCTTCTGCCCTGTGGGGGAATCTAGCTGAGGTCTACAGAGCAGCCTGGGCCCTTCTCACATTCCAGTCTGACAGGACCTGGAAGCAACTGACAGGTTCCCTGCTAGAAACCGCCTGCCGTACATTCTCAGCCAGAGCCCCAGCTAGGCTCTTCCCTCCTTTCCTTTCAGACCCACCTCCTCTTCCCAGGCCCTGGAACACATCCGTCTACTACCATACTAAGTCTCTTCTTGTTAGGAGGTCTCAGATATTTAATGTCATCTCTGCTCTTGTAGAAAAAAAAAAAAAGGCTATGGAATCAGAAATTTTGATTGTCTGCTCATGACTGTTTGTAGGGAGAAGTGAAAGGGAGTAAACAGCAGCCAGAAATGGATGCCGTCACACTCCAGCTCCTAGCACGTCAATCTTACGGATTCTCGTGAGTACAACCGTGGATTCCCACCCCACCCCACCCACACATACAAACACGAGTCTCCTTCCAGAAACTGTTTTGGGATCCCCAGGAGAGGGAGGCCCTATCCTCACAAATAAAGAAACTTCAAAGAGCAATTTACACATTCGAAAAGAGACTCCAAGATACACTTTTTTTTTTTTTTTTTTTTTTTGAGGTACACGGGCCTCTCACTGTTGTGGCCTCTCCCGTTGCGGAGCACAGGCTCCGGACACGCAGGCTCAGCGGCCGTGGCTCACGGGCCCAGCCGCTCCGCGGCATGTGGGATCTTCCCAGACCGGGGCACGAACCCGTGGCCCCTGCGTCGGCAGGTGGACCCTCAACCACTGCGCCACTAGGGAAGCCCCCCAAGATACACTTTGAATCAAGAGGAATTAAAGTAACCAGGTCAAATAAATATGAACAAAGATTAAGAATTTGAAAGTACATTTGAAAATAATCATTAATCTCAGTATTGGTTCAAAAGAACAAAGAGGACTATGATAGGGAATCTCTGTGAAGGGTTCATGCTTCAGTTCAAGGAAGTCCAACAGTGAGGATCTTTTGTTAGCTGGGTTTGTAATTTCACGACGGATCATGGAAGGGCTGATTTCAGCATCGCCAGCATACTTACAAGTCACCACAAGCTGCAAATACGCCAAGCCCCACACTCCCCAGCTCCCTCACGTGCCCCACTGCACGTGTCACCTTCGTACTGTGGTTTACTTACTGTGCTCCTGGTTTATGGAGCATCTGTTCCCATCTGAACGGAAGTCCCATAAGGAGGGGATTCACTGCAGTGTCCTCAGGCCCCAAAGCAGGGCCTGGCACATAGTAGGCCCTCCATATTTGTTTAAAGAAGGAATAAATGCCATTTCCCTCTCTTTGCTCAGAGCTGTGAGTGCTTTGGCATCCTCTGCCTGCAAAACACTTTGGCCAACCCCTTCTCTAATGCCTAGTGATGGCTATACAGCTAACTAGACTCAATCCCAGGGCGGCAGGGGATAAGGAGAGAGAGCTGGAAGGAAGAGATATTTGGGGTCATTAGCGTTGGTTTTGCAGGCAGGAAGAAGGAAGGCTGAAAGGAGAGGGCCCATACAGCCAGCACTCACTCCTCTGCACCCTCACTGCCACTGGGCAGTGATGAGATGCTTCTGAGCCCACCGCCCCTTCTGGGCCAGCCAGCCTGAGACAGAGGCCGCCCATATTTGCTCTCTGTATCCCTCCAACGGGCTTGACCCAGGGCCTGGCCCCTAAATGTCTGCTGTCTGGGTGGGGAGTGGATGAAAGCCAGATCCCTGGAGACCACCACTCCTGCCCCACCTCACCCAAATGCACCTGACGGCACCAGCATTCAGAGAATGGCACTTTATTTTAAGACTTGATTTTTTTGCCATGATTTTCTACTGATTCCTCCATGATGGTGTCGTCTTCTTCCACAGTGACCAGGACCTTCTTGCCCACCAGACTGAAGATATCTTCAGGAGGGTAGCCTTTGGGCTCACCCACCTTCACAGTGAGCATGTCCAGTGTTAGAATGGTGCCTTCCGGAATTTTCACTTTGGCCACCACAGACTTGCCCAGCTGTGGACAAAATTAAGACTCAGTGCCAGCCTCACAGAAATAGTTAGCACACGTTGCTTTATCCCCAAGGTCCCTGATCAGTTTTCTCGCACAAGGTTACCTGGATAGCAGGGACTCTTGTTTTCCCCCTTCGGTGCCTAGAACAGTATCTCACACACAGCAGGGACTAGGCCAGTGTGGGGTGGACTCAGAGACTCAGAGGAGGGCCCTTTATAATAAAGGACTCAGGTTATGTAGCCAAAGAGAGCCAGATCCGAATCCCAGGCAGCTGGGTACAAGCTGTGGCTGAGTTTCTCTGTAAAATGGGAAATAACAGTGTCTCTGCCCTGTCAGATGACTACAAGGATTCGTGATAATAATGTAGGTAACCTACCTGGAACATAGACTGCTCTCAGTAAATTAAAATTATGATTGCTTTTGTCATCGTCCAGTTCAGCATCACATTTTAAACATGGGGAAACGGAGGTCCACGGAGGGCGGGTAAGCTGGCCAAGGTTGCGAGGAGCCAAGATGAGAACCTGGGGTTCCTGACTCCTGGCCCACTGCTCGAGGGACACAAACCTTGTGTCCTCCTTGCTCAGTACAGTAGCAGTACAGAGGGCGCACAGACACTGAGTATGGAAGGGAGCCTCTTAGGAAGAGGCAGATAGGCTGGGCAGGTGAGGGGAACAAAGGAGACCTGAAGCTCATGACCAGTGTTTCTAGGTCTTGCCCATAGATGCTTTTCAACAAAGTATCTAGTCCGATACTCTGCATCTTCCAGGTAAGGGCCAAGGAATCAGTTCTGGAATTTATGGCAGGACAGAAGGTCTGTCGGCGGATGATTATCAGATTCTGCATCCTCTGGTACCTCACTGTTTGCCCAGGGAGCCAGGAGGCTCAGAACCAAATTAAGTGCTCAACTGCTATAACTCTCATTCCAGTTTCTGGGCCAATTCTCTCCCCTTTTCTTGTATAAGGTAGTTTGTTTCTTTTTACTGTTATTTTAATTTCCTGGTGTATATGCATCTTTAATTTGAGGGCAGCAAGTAGGCCCCACAGGGATAAAAGAGCACTCCTCTAGCAGGCCTGGTGTTAGATCTTTGTTCTGGCCCAGACAGCCCGCAGCGTTTGAGGAGTGTCTGCTTCCCTGGCAGCCCCAGGACGCCTGGCTCTAGACTCAGAGGCCGAGCCAGGTATAGGCCATGGCTTCCGGGAAGCCCAGATAGTCAGTGTGCCAGGCAGGGCTCGCGGGCCTCCCCGTCCCCTCTGTCTGAAGGTTAACGCTGCACAGCTCAAACTGCTCCTGAGGGAACGTTTGCGTCATCCCCCACCAACCCCGTGACAAGCCCCACCCCCATCCATCCATTGCCTCCCACGCTTAGGGATGCCTTGACATAGCACAGGCCCTCCTCCCACTGCCTCATGGGGCCCCTCTGCCTGGATGTCCCTCAAGGATTACCTACTCCATGAGACCCCAGACTTGACCTACCCGCATGCCTCACGAGGGGCCCCGGACACCACCTCCCTTTACCCGGGGTCTAGAGCGCTGGGGCCAGAGGCTTCAGAGACTTAATGGAAAACTGTAATATGCCAGGGAACCAGAGAAACAGCTGAAGTTCCTTAAATAACCAGTTCCTCCCGCTGCTAATATGAACCCCAAAAAACTCATAGGCTCCGAGCGACATCCCTGCATCATTCCACTGGCCTGGGCTCAGGTAGGGCTGGTACCAACTACCTCTCAGGTAAGCGCACGCGGCCCCCTCTCAACAGTGGCACCCGGCAGGACAGAAGAACCCACCTTCTCGTTGCAGGCCATCTCACAGGGCAGCAGCTGCTTGGTCGGGGAGCCCAGGGCCCTCTCCACGAGGCGCACGGACCGCACTAGCTCGGCCAGCTCCACAGGCTCCAGCGAGGCCGAGTGGTCACTCCCCTTCCAGGTCTTGTCCAAAGTTATGTGACGCTCCAAGACCTTGGCCCCCAGAGCCACTGCGGCCACAGATATCACTATGCCCGTTTCATGCCCAGAATACCCTATGGGAATGTCAGGAAAGAGCTTCTGATATTCCTTTAAAATAGAAAAAGGGAGGGAAAAAAAAGTTAAATAGTGTGGTACCTTCCGCATACATTCTAGAGTCAGGCAGATCTGAGTTTGAGGCCCAGGAAGCCTCCGAGGCTCTCTGAGTCTCTCCTTCCCAGGGATAGCAGTACCTGGTGGGAGCTGCTATGAACTTGTGGAGGGCACTCAGCACACTGTAAATGCTCAAAAATAATGGCTGCTGTTATCAGGAACACATCTGAAGAATGTTACACACTGCGCAAACCACGAAGAATAATAACAGAACTATAACCAAATGCCTAAACCCATTCAAAAAGCATCTGTCACATTTAATTAGCCTGAGCTGCTGAAAGCAAGTATGCTATATGCACAAATATCACCATCAATAATACATACAGCCCAATCTCAAAACAATCCTTTGGTGGGAATGCTAAATAATTAATTAATTGGTTATCTATAATTCACTGGATGTGACGAAAGACATTCTAAGTGGAGTGAGCCTTGTCAGTGAGGGTGACCAGAAAGCTTAAGTACAGCAGAAAGACCCAGATGGGAATTAATAGAAGATAAGGATGGCTGAGTGGCAAAGGCCTTGAAAACCAGGCTTAAGGGTGTGTGATGGACAAAGAAGTGCAGGTTGCTAGGTCAGAGGACTCACCCTGCTGTGACAGGGGTGGGCTGGGCCTGGGGGGCAGGCTGGCAATTTAACTCTGACGGTGCCCTGCTCTAAAGAGAGAGGATGTGAGCATACCTCAGGCGGGGATGGAAGGGATATGGGGACCACACTTCACAAAGGAAGAAAACTGAGGGAAATATTTGGCGTCAGACACACTAAATTGTTAATTACGGTAATCTCTGTGGGATGGGATTACAGAGGATGTTCATTTTGTATGTTATATATTTCAGGGCTGAATTTTTTTTTAAACCATGTTTAAATTTAAAAAATAACATGATTTAGAGATGAGCTAGAAATGGAGAAAAGACTACAGAACTGGGAGAGACAGAAACTTTAGTTAAAAAGAGAGTAGTGTCATTTCAAAAAAGGTTAATTTTTTTTTTTAAGTTAAACATGAAGACTAAAAAAATGTATAAGAGCTTATATAATCATGGGGGGAAAAAAACCCGCAGAATGTCATATACGGTAATGAAAGAAAAATATAAAAGGAATACTGGTTAATTGCAGTATCAGGATTGTGTGTGTGTATATTTAGAATTCCACTACTCTTAGTATAATGTTTTTTGTACGATAATTACACACCTATATATTTCCAATTAATTATGTTTCGGGAGCTACCAGGAGGAATTGATAGAGATGGCCCGAAACAATAAGGGACAAAGAATTCTACTCTAGCTTTGCCACCAGGATGCTGTGAGATCTCAGGCCAGGTAAGGACTGGACCTCGTCACCTGTAAACCGACTGAAGTGGAACAGACAAAATGCTGGGAGAGAGAGAGCTCTCTCAAGGTTGTCACTGTAACAACTCTGACCCTCAAGGATACTCAGAATCAGAGAGCTGGTAAATAACAGAGTTGGAAGTAGGAAAAGCCAGAAGTTTCAAGAAGGTCTCCTAC